CAGTAGATCATCGTGTAGATGCAAGTGTCCCAGGTGATGTGCAGGGATGGGTTGTTGACCGGGGCCGGCTTGGGCTCGCAGTCGGGGTTCTGAAAGAGATCCCGGATAAAAAAGTGCATGGTGCGTCACTCAGAACTGAGAAAACGCTATCCACCTCAACGACGTAGATCATGTACTGAAGGCAGATGTAGATGGCGTCGTAGCACTCTTCCTCGGTGAGGAGCTCCCATTGGGTGTAGCCGCAGAGCTAAAACGATTAGTGTGAGTCTTAAAGTGAGTAGTGAGGATCCAAACTGGCAACAGTGGTACACTTTTGGTATGCTTCTAAGCTCTGTGAGGCAATGGAGAGTGCAGATACAACATGCTGGGCAAGTTCGGGACGCGACTGCGCCATCACCACCAAACTTACATCGAAGTACCAGGTCATGAACGCCTCATAGAGCTCGCAGCGCGACTCATCCGAGCAGAACCACGCGATGAAGTCGTAGATACCATAGCATCCGGTTTCGGTGGTGGTCGGCTCCGGAGGTGTAGTCGGCTCGCATCCGCAGGTCATGTACCCGAGGAACTCCTCGATCAGGGAGATCCACTCAATGTCCCAAGCTAAAAAGGGGTTGGTACGTTAACTAGACATCTAGTAACCCACTCCACTCATATTCTCCCCAGCATCCGCAATCCCAGTCGAGCTGGTACCAGAGCGCCTCGAACTTCAAGATCCATTCGGAGTACCAGGCCGTCTCGTAGAAACCGCACTCGATGGCAATGATCTCGAAGAAGAAGAAGATGCCGGTCGGACCCTCGATCTAAAAGGAAGGAGCCTTTGATATAGTCAAGTTTTGACGAACCTGAGCGCACTCATCCTCTCCGGATCCGGATCCGGATCCGTTTCCTGATCCGGTGGGCACAACAGCAGTGGCATCAGTTCCATCGTCAGTCTCACACATGGTGTTGGCGCCGACGAGGAGGAGGTCCCAGTTTCCGTTGAGCCAGATCTCGATGCTGAAGTCGATGAAGAGTTCCCAGGAGCACTAAAAAGTTGGTGGTGGAATCGTACGCCATGTAATTAAGCGTACGGAGTCGAGGTACAAAAGTCGAAAGCCGGTGAAGGTATGTGCAGAAGCGGCACTCTCTCTCTCTCCTTACCTCCTCAGTAGATCCAGACGGGGCAGGTCCATCGGTGACCAGGGCAGTGAAGTCAGTAACAGCGGCGGTGACCGCGTCAGTAGGAGCGGCAGATGCGGCGCCAGTAGTCTCCGAAGAGCCTTCACCGTCCTCTTTACTTCCGCTGCCACTTCCGCTACCTCCATGCTTGTCGCGACGGCACTTGCTTGTCTGGTCGACAAAGGCCTTAGCCTTTTCGGGTCCAGTGCAGTCGGGCTTCTCCTCCTGAAGTCATTAGCTTACCGGAACTCTCGGGAACAACTCACCTTGAAAGTCGTGCAATATCCATTGAGTGTAGCGCGCCATTCGACGTCAATGTAGAGTTGGGCGATAAAGTAGAAGTAATTCTGAAAGGAAAGAAGTTGAGGTGAGTATTCAAGGATGCGACTTACGATGATGTACTTGCACTGTTCCTCAGCGCTGAGCTCTCCGCAGCTTCCTGAGGTCGGGAAAACCTCGGTGAAGTCGGTGTAGTCGGTGAACTCGGTGGGCATGTCGGAGCTGGGTTCCTCGGATGGGAGGTCGGTGCTCGCCGAATCAGATGGAAGAGCGGTCGGGATCTAAAGGTATGGATTAACGATCTAAGGGCTTTAATAAATATTACTGTACGATGATATTTTTAGCATTTTCACCCCACAAAGCGCTGTACTTCTTGAAAATGCCGATTAAACAAATTTGGAGTACAAATTCGAAATCAGCGCAAAATTCTGCACCAACTAGGCTAGGTTCTGCTCAAGACTGGGATGACGCTCAAAAGCGTCTCCTTGTTAGACAGTACCGGCTGGAAGTCGCAGCAGCACTGGAAGAACTGCCCGATCCAGGTGATGCAGACGCTCCATTCAATATCGACCTTTCCGCTGCAGTACGCGTCCCACTCGGCTTTGAACTGGAAAAAGTGGGCTTGATCCCTTGGGGCAAAACTCACGTCAATCCATCCCTGGAATCCGGCAGCCTCCATTCCGCACGACTCGGCGATCGTCACGAACAGGTAGGTGTACTGCTCGACGGTGCCGCTGAACGTCTCCGTCTCCGGGGTAACCACGACTCCAAGTGTGGTTTCCATGTAGTAGCCGATGAACTGCAGGATCTCGACGTTTCCTTCAGCGATCAGCTGCTGGATCAGTTGGACACAGGCTTCGATCGCTTTGGCGTCCGCATCAAAATCGGCATCGTCGCACTCGGCGGATTGTCCGGCTTTGACCTCGCATGCCTGGAAGGAGTACATGATTGAAACCAGTGTTCTAATAAGTGAGGCTGAGAGTGAGGCTCAGGCTTAGGCTTAAACCAAGGCTTAAAGTTAGCTTAAGCTTAGTGTCAGGGGTAGGTTTCGCTAGGGCTTAGGCTAATGCTTAGGCTTAGGCCTGAACTTATGCTTAGACGTAGGCTAAGGCTTGCGACTAAGCAGACCGGCTAGAACGACTTACATCCTTGATGACCTGGAGCCACTGAAGTTCCACTGGTCCGGAGGCACATGAGCTCATGTAGTAGTAGAAGGAGGAGGCGAAGCTGACGCGGTACTCGTACGAGGAGAAGATGTAGCCGATAAGGTAGTAGAATTCGGAGACGCCGACCTGGTCGTTAAGCTCTTCAGGTTCGGCCTAGAAGCAAAAGATTATGAATGGCACGGAGCGGAAAGTAGAGAATGCCGCTAACGGCTCACATGCACCGATAGGTATGCAGTTCGACTAACCGGGATCTGTTGCGGGTTCTCGCAGTAGTAGGCCGTAAGCTGAGTGCACTGCGTAGTGGCAGCCGTAATGTCGGTTTGGGTCATTCCGGTGGTGTCGAAGCTGTAGCAGCTGTAGAGGGTCTGCCACGTCTGCGACTCCCAGGTCCAGCCGCGGAGTTGTGCGAATGGGAACATCCAGCTGCCCATCTGAAAGAGGACAATCAAACTTCAGGGTTCGAAAATCTTACGTAGGTGTTGTTTGCCGGCGCGGTAGTAGCAGTAGCCGGCGCCTCGGTGGTGTCATCGCTAGGGGCGAGGGTGGCGAAGCCGCAAGCGTCGTAGTACTGAAAAGAAATGGTAAGGGAGATAAAGAACAGCTTTTTGAGCTCCATCTCAAGCTCCAAGGCAAAACTCACCGATTGGATGTAGACGCTGTACGTTTCGTAGTCGTTGTAGAGACCGTTGACGCACGCGGTAAGTCCGAAGATCCAGTAGGACTTGCCCTCGTTCTCTGCATCCGTTGGCGGGGTGGGCGGAAGGCTGGTGGCGAAGCCTCCCTGGAATGATTTGGTTAGCTTGTTTGCGTCGCCCCACGTCGAAGACAAAGCGAAGCCTAAGCCTAAGCCAAAGCGTAAGTCATCCTGCATACCTGCTCGTAGCTGATCAGGATCTCGATGAACTTCTGCGCGTACAACTCGTCGTCATAGGCGTACGGATCGGGAAGGGTGCTGGCGAAGTCTTCGAAAGCCTAAAAAGATGCTTTCATTTTTAGACCTTGACCAGGTTACCGTAATGATGGCAGTGTAGGCGCTGCGATCGTAGAAGATCAGCGCCACGCGCTCGGTGAAGGTGAGCGCGAACTGCTCGCAGCCACACTAAAGAGGGAAGGTTTCAGCGGAAAATGGGCAACTTACAGCTGCTCCCGCTGCAAGCAGGGTGCAGAAACTAACGATGTTGAGAAGTCTCATTACCTGAAAAGAGCTGAAATGTTGAAAAGCCGTAAATTGAGACGAGAACGTTTGGAGCATGAAGCCGTAGGGTTTTGAAGTCTGAAGTAGACGCTGCTAACGCTTACGCTATGCTTAGGCTTAGGCTTGGGCTTAGGCATAGGCTTTGGATCAGGCTTAGGGTCAGGCTTAGGTTTAGGGAGGCCGAAACCCGGGTTCAAGCCAAGACCTAGATGGCACTCCAGCTAGGTTACAAATGTAGATGTTGCTCAAAATTTGGCCTCCGGGCTCCATTGAAGCGAGAAGCTAAGCTCCCGAAGCTACAGTAAGCCAAAGTGAATTGAAGCTCAAACGAAGCTGATGCTCCCTTCAGCTTCCCCCGTCCTTATATTCCCCCCGAATCCAATCAAAACCCCACCAATACTCACGGCACCCCACTGGGCCCTGGCCTCAAAAATCGTCTAGCCGTTCAGTGTCAAAAGGCAATTTGCGAAAAAGCCAACCCTCCGGACTTTTCCACTTTTTATTGGGCGACCAAATCACGGCCGTCCCACCCGCCCACGTTGCAAATAGGCGACAAATACCGAGCCCTCGATCCGGGAAATCGCAATTTTGACTCCGGGATGAATAGGGGGGTTGCCCTCTCCCGGTCAACACGAAAAAGGTTTTTGCGAAAGCTGCCTCTTTTCGATGTTTGGACTGGATAGACTGGCGGGGAAATCGGATATCAATTTTCTGAGGTTCAGCACGTGTTTTTAAATTCGTTTAAGCTTAGCTATTTTAGCATCATTCTGATCTGTAGATTGCTCAGACTTACCGAAAGTGTTTGGCTTTCCAGACATTGTGGTGGAAATACCGCAACCCCTAGATCCGTTTCCTTTAATCTTGCTAGATGCTAAATTTTAACTCGAACCGACAAATGTTCCCAGTATTTTTCTGACCCTTGAAAAGCATCAGAAGAATGATTTTTGTGGATCATTGACTTTTTGCTCGTACTCATCGAAATTTGGTTCCTCTCATAACTTTCTGAGCATTAATGGAAGCTAGGCTTTTTCGGGTCAACCGGTAAAAATACCGTAACCCCAAATTTTGGTGCAGCGTCGCAATTTTTCTAAAATCGTATAAGTTAAGCGCGATACCTTTCGGTTTAAATTTCGCTTTAAAATGTTTTTTTTACGAATAAACGTCGGTTCAGCAACAATCATTTATCAAAACATCGATCAAACAAGCGAGCTGAGGCAGAATTGGATGCCGGTAATTTGCTCGAACCACTCGCAGAAGAGGGTCACTCGAAGGGCTTGCTCTGAAATGGATTTTGCATGTTGATTTTTGCCTTTTTGTCAATAGCTGCTAGATTGCCCTTCTCCTAACAATAAGAAACTGCTAACTTACGCTGATTTTCCGAGCAATGCGGACCGTTAATGTTCATGGCCAGCATCACCCAGTAGTATGGCATATGACCGGACGGGCTGGCCACTTGCACGATGATGCCGCCTCCCTCATCTCCCTAGAACATTAATGGTACCGTACGTTTTGTAATTCTGATCGAAGCGAGCCATCAAAAATTTCTTGAAACGCGTGAGGATTTCAGGCGTAGCGGGTCGCGTTGCGTACGGTTTTCCCGCTCTATTTGGTCCGCTGCTTGCGCCCCGCAAAATCTTTGAAGGTATGAAATTACAGTTCTCGTTTTCTTGACGCCAGCAAGGAACATTTTGAACTCACATAGCAAGGAAACGACCGCTTCGGGTAGTCCAGATAGTCGAAGCAGATAAAGTTGGGGTGTGAGATCCGGGTGCAGCCGGATGTATAGCCCGCCTGGTAGAAGCGAAGGAGGGGATGGAAGGGGGCTGGAAGAATGCGTAGTTATCGCGTACACAAGTGAAGTTTTATAGCGAATCAAAGCCTCACGCCTCACGTGGGGAACCGGACGTAGAACTACATCGCGTGTATATTTTAACGCGCCTTACTTTATTACTATAGCACCTCGAATTTACGTTTTTAAATTAAACCAGGGTTGAAAAACCGCTTCGCGGCTTTTCAACCCTGGTCCCGTCTTCTCCAATGATATTCTTGGCTTTGCATAATTTTCCCGGATTAGGATGACGAAAAATGAAAAATGCTCTTGCCTTCCTTTTATATAGGCTACCGCGACTTCCGGTGCATGCTAATTTGATCAGAACAAATTGGGGTGTCCGATTTTCCATGAAAAACTTCATTTTAATGTCGAAAACATCAAATTTTGTAAAAACTGATATGTGTGCAGTCATCTCCAGGCCATTACGCACCTAATGACGTATCGAACATACCCCTAAGTACTTCCCTTCTTGAGATACTACTGGAACACGGTGACGGAAGTTGCATGCAAATGCACACACACACACAGACACTATTTTTTTATATATAGTAGGATTTCGCATTTTCTTTCGTCCCAGCGTCTTTTTTGGGCTTGGGAAGAGCTTAAAGATCACCTCGCAAAGCCTCGATGCCCCATCCGAACCCGGTGACAATGCTCCAATATTTCCGCACGGTAGCAAAAGCTGCCGAACCCTCCCGGACTAGCGTAACCGGGATGACACTACCCTCATGGAGTCTCACGTCGTGATCCAACTAGAAAACTATGATCTCTTTCTCTCCACTTCTCTCTCTCTCTCTCTCTCTCTCTCTCTCTCTCTTTCTTTCTCCCTTTATCTCACGCTCTCACCTCGAGCAACGAGATCCCGAACGGGTCGTAGGTGTCGAACACCCGGTTGTGGTTCGGCACCGGCCGTGCATTTGGATGCCGGTGGATATGTCTGATCTTGATTTCTTGCTAAAACAGAGTAAATTGATGCCATCATAATTTGAAGACGCAAAAATACCGACTAGAAAATTAATTACAGGCAGTCTTGTTTAGAAAAAATCAAAAACCTGCGCCGTTTTATTTGCTAAATAATGATCAGAATTTTTCCGGTATGGTCCTTGTCAATATGTTTCATTTAGACGTTTTCTTACCGCCCCATCTCCCGGCTTGTATTTGCCATTGATGTTGATGTTCGTAGCGCCAAGTACGACGCGAATTTCGTTCAGCCCCCCATTCTCTTCTTTGATGCTTAAAGAACACAGGCTTCTCGCTCCGTCTCTTTCTCTCTCTCTCTTCTCTCTCTCTCTCTCTCTCTCTCTCTCTGTCTCTCTTGCTGTATATCTCTCTCACTATTACTTGCAATGCGCCGCGGTGAGCACCCAGCGAAGTCCGATCAGCGTTCCCGTGCATTCGTGCACCCATTGGCTAAAAATTACCTACAACTACCTACTTATATTTACGTGAAGTTAGGCTTAGCTTAGGCAGCTTAGGAATGGCTTAGCTTCGACCTAGCTTCGGCTTTGCTACGGCCCAGCTTGGGCGTAGCTTAAGCGTGGCCTGGCTTCGGCTTAGCTTGGGCCTAGCTTAGACTTAGTTTAGGCATGGTTTAGCTTTGGCTTAACTTCGGCTTGGCTTTAGCTTAGTTTGGTTTAGCTTAGGCTCAGACCTAGGCTTGGGCTTAGGTTTTCCAAACTCCTTAAACTAACTCTATCCATCGCGGTGGTTGCTGTCCGTGGCGCTGAACAGAGACCGCATACGGATATTGGCTGATGTGCACGTCTTTACCGTTCACGATTTTCAGCTAGAAGGGGAATTTTACTTTCAAGCTCAAAACGTAAATTAGCATCGGTAAGCGTTCGAGTTAACCCTACATTTCTGTCAATATCAGAAGGCTCCAGGTCCTCAAGTAATTCATCAGAATCGACGAGTTTCTGAAATGATCATAAACGCGTTTAAAACGAAGTTTTGAATTGCCGTAATTTGTATGTTACGCAACCTACCGTAGCTGCATTTTGCAACAATATAGCAGAAACGAGGCAAAAGAGGGGTCGCGACATTTTGTGAGAAATGAACACCTCCGAAAAGTGCCTTCCTTGCCAAATTCAATAAGAACCGTACCAGCCAGCCACACGTTTCTGTTACATCTTTTATTCATGAAGAAAGTGCAGAGCTTTGTCGAGAAAAATTGGTGAAATAAAAGCATAACATTGCCGTCTGGTTATAGTACTTATTGTTTTTTGAACAAAAATTTCCGCCTTGAGCAATCAACAACAAATTTATTTAAATTTCACATCCTTCCGATTGTAACACACACCCGCATGCCAATTGTCTGCTGGAGCCAGGCGCAGTGGATGGCCGTCTCCACGCCATAGGCTAGATTAAGGATCTAGATTGTATCCGATGCATCGGATGTTACCAATCGTGTAGATCGAATAATCGCAGGTAGAGATTGCTCCAGTATGGACAGCCAGTTGCAACCAGGCACCGTGGTATTTGGTGGCCACTGGCGCGCCAGAATCGCCCTGAAATGAAGCATACGAGTAGTTGTCGTAAGTCCTGGGTCGGAGGCCAAGACTAAGTCTGAGCCTAAGCCATCCCTAAGCCCAAACCAGCCCTAAGCCTAAGCCTAAAATGATGCCGTGGCCGATGCCTAAGCCTAAAATAAGCCTAATCCTAAACCTAACCTAAGCCCAAGCCTAAGCCTAAGTCTAAGCCTAAGCCAGCCCTAAGCTTGAACCTATTCGTAAGCTTAAGCCTAAGCAGAAACTCACGCCTAGGCAAGTACCGAAGCCGATACTTAGACACAATTGCCTCATTCTTAAGGTGTTTAGTAGATGACCGTACTGGTTAGATAATAAGCCCGATTACAATCTTGAAATGGGCGCCATTTTGCCGGGTACATCCGCAAATCGACGCTGGGCGGTTCTGAAATAATCAAAAAAATTTAAAAAACAGATTAATTAATGCAATAAAAAAATCGCTAATAGGTCAGCTTATGAGCCTGGAGCTTACCAATGAAACCTACGTCTTTTCCCAAGCAGCCCCCACCCGGTAATCTCCAGAGGCAAATTCCTGTGATGCCAAGCTGGGAAGCGGTCCGGGATGTGAATCGGGATACGGCGCATTGAGTAGCCCACCGATTCGGTGAGCTAAAAGGTGAGTTGATTTGATATTTACGAGAATTAACGCGTTAATGGCAAATGATACCTGTACACTGGTCCGCATAATTATGGAGCCACCCACAATTTTCCGAAAATCTCAATTTCTGGCGGCTTTCGTGAAGCACTTTCTATTAGTGAAAGAAGCAGTATACCATCACAACTTTACACAACAAGTCCGTTTTTTGATTCGAGGACACAAAAAATTTTAACGAAAGCTTTCGCCTAAAACGCTCTTTGGAAAAAACGCATAATTATGGAGCCACTCGAGTTCTTCACTTATTCTTTTTTTCGTTGTCCACACAACCATACTGTTTTCTTTTAAACGTAATTAATGGATTATTGTTTTGCTGGATGGCACGCGGGAAAGCCCTATCTGACGTTGAAAAGGGTCAAATGATGCGAAATTGACACAGGGCCTGTCACATCGACAAATCGCTCCGGATATGGGCGGAAGCCACAAAATTATCGACAATTTCGCCAAAGATCCAACTGGATATGGAAAAGCAGTACACCCAGGCCATCCCCTACTCTTTTACGATCGTCAAAACCGACTCACAATTCGAAACGCATCCAGCAAATCACGGCAGCTACCCTAAGTAAAGCCGATTTGAGGCTGGATTGCTCGACAGAAACCATCCGAAGCGTGTTTTCGAAGAGCAACTTCATCAACTGGAGGAGCATGAAAAAAGCTCCGATGCTCGACCAATGCCATCGCCAAGATCGTGTCGCAATTGTTCGGCGAAATCAGCGGATAGACAGGCGAAAAGTAAGGGTTCTTTAAAAGGCTCAAAAGCTCTTCAATTAATTTTTTGTGACGAGAAGAAGTTTAAATGTGATGACCCAGACGTGTTCCGCCACTGTTGGCACGATTTGCAAAAAGACCAGCTCCGATTTGCCCGACGCAACGTTCAAGGCGGCAGCGTCGTGATGTGGGCAGCCATTCCTTCAGAAGGACGAGTAAAATTGTGCTTCGTCTCTCATAAAATGAACCGAGTCGACTACCGACGAACGTTGCGACGGGGAATTCTGCCATTTTGGCGAAGAAATCGGAAGCGAAGGTTCATTTTTCTGCAAGATGGGGGTCCCCATTCGAACTCAAGACTCGTGTCAACGGCGAGGAATCGATCTTCTGGCCTGGCCAACCTGTTCCTCTGCTCTGAACATCATCGAAAACGTTTGGGGGTCCATGGTACGCAAGATTTACCATAGAAACAAGACTTATCGGAACGTAGGCGAGCTCAAGAAGGCCATAATCGACGCGTGGCATCAAGTCGACCAAATGCTGCTCGATAACCTCTACCTGAGCATGGACAGCCGTCTTTTCCAGCTGGTACAAAGAAATGTAGCCGCCACCGATTCTTGGAATTGTTTTCAGCGATTTCTTATCGATTTCCCATATTTTATAAAAAATTTTCCAGAGTGGCTCCATAATTATGCGGTTTTTTCAAAGAGCGTTTTAGGCTAAACTTTTCGTTAAAATTTTTTGTGTCGTCGAATCAGAAAACGGACTTGTTGTGTAAAGTTGTGATGGTATACGGCTCCTTTCACTAATAGAAAGTGTTTCACGAAAGCCGCCAGAAATTGAGATTTTCGGAAAATTGTGGGTGGCTCCATAATTATGCGGACCAGTGTAGTAATGCAATATCATTATCGCAGCCAGGGGTCCCGAGGTGGCGGTAGAAGTTGGGGTGTAGATGGATGCGCTCCACTTGGACTATGGCCTAATAGATTTTTTCATATTTTTGGCAGTTTCTTTAGAGATATTTAAACTTCCTAATTGGAAATTATTTAAGGCGAAAACGGTTGATGCACTTTATTTTTTGATTTCTAACCACGTCATCGTCCGGAGATCCACGCGCTGTCATGTGATCAGCACCGGCAAAAACCCAGAATTGCGATGGCGCATAACTAAATTTGATCCGTATATTTTGAATTACCTTACAATGGTTTTGAAAGCAAGCAATTCATAGGAATCCAAAATCATCGAATCAAAAATTACAAAACTAACGCTCGCCGGGTAAAATTTTCGCCAGCGACGCAATGGCCGGCCGTCAGGATCCATTTTTCCATCATGATTGAGCCCATGCAGACGTGTATCCAGTCTCTTAATATCAGGCTCATCAATGCATTTTTTTACTTCTAAGCCCGATTTAATGCTGACGCGCTCCTAATTAATCTCTCGTAACTTTATAAATACTGTCCAGAAGCGTACCCGTCAACTTTCCGTCGTATAGCCACTGAAAATGCATAAGTACTCACGCTGGCTCCTTTGCCGCCGACGATGGAATTTAATTGGAGATTTTCATGAAATATGAATTTTGCTTACCTCCACCAAAATTCCATATTTTAGCGCTAAAAATATAGAAACTAGGAGCCAGGGCGGCATTTGAAATAATGATGGCGGTGCTTTTCAGATTTAATAAAGATTTTTGGACATGAATATTTCATAGAATTCTCTCTGTTAGACGGTATTTAATAAAAACAATAACGATAAAAATGTAAAGATAGACGCTCGGAGCTAAAGAGCTGAAAGAGCTGTTTGGAATCGCGAGTTTGTGCCGGGTAACGTAAAATTGCCGGGTAGGCATCCAAGTCAAAAAGTTTTGGCAATGAACTTAAACTTGCTTCGTTGTGGTAGAACTTATTGTGTCGGCATTCTTTTCGTCTTGATGATTGTTCGTTTTTTGATGTTGTTCTGTTCAGAATTAATAAACGTTTCCGCGTATGAAAATTGCATAGCAGCAGCATTCTTTTTCTTAATTCTTTTGAACAAAAATTGCCGACTTGAGCAATCAGCAACAAATTTATTTCAACTTCACATCCTTCCGATTGTAACGCACACCCGCATGCCAATCGTTTGCTGGAGCCAGGCGCAGTGGATGGCCGTCTCCACGCCATAGGCTAGGTTTAGGATGTTTACTATAGGAAAGTAGTGAGATCTTACCAATCGGGTAGATTGAATAATCGCAGGTAAATATTGCTCCAGTATGAACAGCAAGTTGCAACCAGGCACCGTGGTATTTAGTGGCCACTGGCGCGCCGGAATCGCCCTGGAACGAGGCATACGAGTAGTTGTCGTAAGTCTTGGGTCGGAGGCAAAGCCTACGCCTGAGCGTACGCCTCAGTTTAAGCCTAAGCCTAAGCCGGTGCCTGTGCATATTTGTCGCATTGTTCAATTTTTTATGCCCACATCACATGGACCGACATGTCTCGGCCCTCGATAGCAAATGACCGGGCTCGTCACAGAATAAACCCGATTACAGTCTTGAAATGGGCGCCATTTTGCAGGGTACATGCGCAGATCGACGCTCGGCGGTCCTGAAAAATCAATAATCAGTCAGCTTTTAAACCGAAAGTCTAAAGATGAAACCTACGTCTTTTCCCAAGCCGTCCCCACCCAGTGATCTCTAGAGTCGAATTCCTGTCACGCCAAGCTGGGAAGCGATCCGGGATGTGGATCGGTATCCGGCGCATCGAGTAACCTACCGGTCTGCTGAGCTAAAAGGGTGACATTGGCTCGATATTGATAAGAATAAAGGCGTTTATGGCAATGACGGAATTACCGCCATAACGCCCAATTTTATAATATATAATCTTTTAACACTCGGCATTATGAAAACTCGAGATTATCAAAATTCGAGATTATGAAAATATAATACCTTAAGCAACGCAATATCATTATCGCAGTCCGGCGACCCGAGGTGGCGGTAGAAGCCGGGGTGCAGATGGATGTGCTCCACTTGGACGATAACCTCAATAATTGTTGTTGCTAACGTAAGAAATTCATCTAGGCATCGAAACTCGTTAACCCGGAATTCGAGTTTCCCAAGAACGTAGTTTTTCCTAAAATTTTAGGTAGGAGTTCACTTTTGTATCCCCCGCCAATCCAAGGGTCT